GAGTTTATTCCTCAGAAGAATTAAAGAAAAAAACCACCTGAGATGTGAACCTTTTCAGGGAATGCTGATTTTTTTAGGTGGACATTGGAAAACTCAAACTGATTTAAAAAAAAAAACAAAACACCACCACAATGGTCTGGGCTGGCAACTTCTACAAAAATCCCTGCAGTTCTACTGACCATCTTGCTTCAATCCCCATCTTTATATCCTGTGAAGTGTAGAAACTCTTCAGGGCTCCAGTCCCCCCAGAACATATGACATAACATATTCTCTCCTGTCTCCTGTGCCATTGGCTTCAGATCTTTAGGGGCAAATCTATTTATTTACTCATGCAGGCAGGAAAAAGATTGAAATCTCTTCTCTCTCTTAGTATTTCTGTCATTTAAGAAATGGGTTGCCCTACTTTGCAACAAAAGTATTTCAACTTCTTCTCATTAATTCACAAATCAAATACAAACTAGACAAAATACAAACAACATTAAAAGTAAAGAAAAAATATCTGGAAGGAGGGAATGAGGGACAATTTTTTTGTTTGTAGGACTAGGTGAGGTGGTCACTCTTGTCCTCTTCCAACCATGTACGTGCAACTTCTTCCCTGACAAGTCAGACTGGAAACCTAAATCATGGGCAAGGTATCAGCACTGGACAATGCCTTCTCTTACCTGCTGGAAGCAAAAAATGAAAAGATGGACTCAAACAAGCAAGAAATATCAGGTAGGACTGACTGGGGCACACCGTAATGTCAAAGCAGCACTGTGAGATGAGGCGTTTAAAATACCAACATCGGGGGGGAAAGCACAGAAAATAAAACAGAAGCAAGGCAAAATTGACTGAATTTCAGTTCTACACTATTTTACATCGTTCACATTTTAACAGTTCTTTCCAGTTTCCCCAAAGCCCTATAAAACCAAATAATTTGAATTCACAGGGCTGTACTGAAGACAGTCTTATAAATGCATCTTTGCACATTCAGGTTCCAGAACAAAAGTTCAAAGCTGTATCATGTGCTCCTTCCATTAAGGGTAACAAGCTCTTTCTGAATTGAAGGTCAAAACTCATTATTCGGTAACACCTAGCTTCTTTAACAGTCCCTGCTTTCATATACAGTTCAGGTCTGTCACAACCCCCTAGAGCTCGAAGACCTTCAAATCCTAATAGCTCCATAGAGCCTACTTTCCTTTTAGCTTGTTCCTGAAGGACCAGTGAAATTTAACACTAGTCTGACTTTCTAGCCAAATTAATTTATGCTACATAAACACAAAAATAAAGCTTTAATACTCCCCTCTTCCCAAAGACCACCACTGACATTTCCCTGCCCCCCCAAGATTTTCTAACTCCCTCACGAGCTTCTAGCCTAAATCTGGGAATTTTTGAACCAAGGCCCCAGAATACAACACTAAGTGAAATTTCAACCATGAAGCCATGACCTGAAATAATAAGATACAGCACAACATAACACTGCTTATAAATTAGTAATTGATGTGTAATTTTATCCCTGCAATGACTTAAATTTCTTAGGTGAGACTGAAGAACAGAATAACCTTTTTAAGTTTCATTGTTATAGGCAATTACATTATTTTGAAATACAGAATCAATCTTGGCTGTATGAACGAGGAGAATATGCAGTCAGTTAAAATATTTATTACGTTGTCATTGCACAACTCTGCCAGCATGTATACCACATGTATAACTGGTTTGTTAACACAAAATATGAATTTAAAAAATAGCACCCCTACAGCAACACATCACTTTTGCCTGCAGAATTGACTGCTCTGCAATAAATACGAGATCCCATGAACTCCACTGGTATTCTCAGTAACACCTGTAACTAAAATGTCCAGTTTGACTCCCGAAACTTCATGACAATTAAAGTTTCACAAAACAGATTACAGACACTCTCAGATCAATTTCAAATGTATATAGTATGGAGGTTTGCTTCAGCAAAAATACTACTTAAGCAATCTTTATCTTAAAATTAAATTGTGATGACCCTTGATTCCTCATTAATCATTTGATGAAGAATTGCAGTTTAATGGATATTTTTATTAAAAGTTGAGTTACATCGTTACTTCAACTTACATATTATGAAGAGATCTGCTTTTATTAAAAAGATTCAATTGCCCAGGGGTAAGGCTGCTGGCTTAGCTGGGGATTCCTGCTATTGAAGAACTTGCCTAGGAAGCAGTGATATTAACTCTCCATTACCCCTTTGGGTTACAAATTAGATGCTCTCAGCGGGGTGAAGATAAACAGATGAGAAGACAACACAAAATGTTTTTAAAACATTCCATGAGATTTAGGGACATAGCTTCTGTGTATAATACCTGTATTATAACTGGGTTTGGTGCACTGCTAACTGCCTCCAAAACTTACAGTAATGGGAGCTATGAAGAAATGCAAAAATCAAAACAGAGCAGAACATTGAAGCTGACTTTAAAGAGCAGAAGAAAAAGCAGACACTAAGAACCAACACATATATGTAGCAAGCTAAAACAACGCTGAATTATTAACAAGAGCTATTTTTTGACTGCAAACTACAAGCTGAGTCCCCGTTACTCCCATGCTCAGCACTGAGAACTGCAGATACTGTCGAGTGTGTTACATTAGCATGGTTTTGCTCATGCTTTGCACAACACATCCTGCATGCCTCTGTGCTTCCTGGAAGCTTTTAAGATTGTGTACTTGCAAACTCCATGTGTCTAAAAGCTAAGTCTGGCACCATTGCTGTAGGCTCCCTTTATAGACAACAGGCAGAAATAAGCACCTTTAGAATGCAGTTCACCCGATTATTTTGGATACCCTGTTCTGGGATACTGTGAATTGCTTGTTGAGCAGTTTCACTCACACAAGTGTTTTTTTTTAAAAAGGTATCCATCTGAGACCCCTCCAATGTATAGGGTCAGTTTATTTTCAGTTAATACCAATGAACAGAGCAGTTATTCCCACAGTAACACCTGAATTTATCAATTGTTCTCCAGCATACTTACAATCCACCTACTCACAATACCCATCAGGCAAAGGATTTATTTTACCAAAAAATAAAGATGTGGAGGTTGCCTTTTCCAACCCAAGCCTCTTGGCTTGAGCATCAGAGAGAGATGGACACACTTGGAGGCACTTGTAGGTACTGAAAGCAGGTGTGAAGAATTATCCTTGGTACTGCCCATTTCTCTCTGAAGATGACAGTGACTGCCTTGATGACTACAATAGGGTACACACAATTCTTCAATAGCTAAATTTGAGCTAGAGGAATTATGCTTCTTAACAAGGCCTAGAAAACTGAGCTCAGCCACGTCTAGAAGAAATGGTCTAGTTCAACCTTTTAGAAATTCATGTACTACTACTTTCCAAAAACTTTTATTTTGACAGCTTTTATTCATGGCAAAGGCATGCCACTTACTTGGCACCTGCACCGTTGCTATGAACAACTTTTGAAATAGTTTCAGGGAAAAAAAAAAAAAAGAAAAAGGTTGAATCGTCACCCCAAACATCTGTGCCACTAACCTTAATTACTTATGACAGTTCTGACCTTTCGCTTCTGCAGCAGTAGCTACAGCATGTTAAGTGCCCAGCTCTACAAACAGGCTTTGACAGATGCAGGTTGAAATGTTGATGAAGAACACGCCCATGCCAAGCTGGAAGAGCTAGGTAGCCTAAGCTTTGAGCAGAAACTATTGAGTTACTTGCTGTACAATGTGCTTGTGCATCCACTCAGCAAAGAATGAATATATTTGAATGAACTGTCAAAGCTTTAGCTGGCACGTAGACCTGGAAAGTAATTTTGCTTTCTTTGGTCATCACAGACAACGACCATAAACTCCAGTGTCTCTGCAGATTAACGGGTATCCATGCTGATCTCAATTAAAATGACCATTCAAGGCTACTTATGGGGAGACTTGCAAGCAAAGCATGAGCAATTTACAGAATAAAACATAAATCATTCTGAAACACATGAGTAAATGTTGATGAGCCCTCACCACATATGAAAAGGTATGTCTTCTCTCTGAGACACCATCCTCAATGACAGCCTGCTGTATTTAAGTTAATGGAAAAGCTCCAACCAATTTCAACAAGACAAGGATTTTATAGCCCACATCCTCTCAGTGAGACACACAAACAAGAGACAAAGTGTGTGTGTGGGGCCCAAGCTCTC